CGCTAAGTCTGTTCATATCCTGCCTTTCCATATAATGCATTAAAACAGATCACAATACAGTAAAACAATCTGCATTAGGAAATAAAGATGCAGACAGCAGACGGAACTTTTAAACAGACACTTCAAATTTACATCCCAAGGAAGTTAAAGTTAGAGGGCTTACAAGACCGACTGCCAAAAAGGAAGTGCCCAGGCAGCAATGGAGGGCCAGAAATTGGAGTGACCTGAGACAGGGTGTTCAAGAGCCTCGAGGTGGCCAAAAAGAAGGCTGCTGCCACATGCAGCTCAGATGCTCACAGACTGCTAGTTGCACAGAGATATTCTATGCACGGCATAGAAAGCTTTGGCCACCGGGTAGCACGGCAATTCAGTGGAGAGATCTTAACATGAAGGCAGGTTCATGGGAGAATGGTGGCCCTTTAGGCATTCTAGTCCCATTTCTTTCTCAGTAAGAAAGGAAGTAAATCTGAAGACGAAACAACCATGGCCATTGGGCAATGTAGAAATGGAAATTATGTTGAAACTGTGTATGTGCCAAAATGTCCTTTTCACACAGCAATGGAATGTGCCTGTTTTGCAAATGCCACCTGCCTGCCTGGTCAAGCAGGACTCGAACACTAAGTGCTGACTCACGCTAGCTCCTGGCCTGAAATATATCTACAAAGCAGCTGGGCAATTCATATGTGGAGCAGGCACAAATAGGGCTGTTTTCCACAGAGAGTTTTCAGTGCGAGAGCAACTTTGCAACTGAGACCTCTGGTACGGGGCGCAGCCTACAGAGCCAAGGCACTCTCATTTCGCCGCTGACAAAGGGATTGTTCCAGGCGTGTGCCATGAAGTTTCGGTCTTTCTGTGCCAGCAGGAGGCGAGTGCATTGCAAGTCTACACTTATCAATGCATTCTTAGCTGTGTTCCATTTAATGGCGATTACAGAGTGCGGAACATAGAAGCACCAAGGAAAACCGATCACATGAACTGAGTTAGCCTTCAGAAAAATATAACATCAGCCATTTCTCTTCCGGTGTTCAGTTTTCTGCTGCTGAATCTTAACGCGTTTGAAAGAGATACAGGCCAGGTCACAAGGAAGCTTGTCTTCCAAGCACTTTGATGTCCACTGCACAGGTCAAGTGCAGGAATCTTGCCATTGTTGAATGGCAGCATGTCCATGTCAGCACAGAGTACAAAAGCCATCACAGGGAGGCTCTTTTGCTTGATGTCCCTGCTTGTCAGACAGCTCACCAGAACATGTCCATAGAAAAAGTGGTGTGACACAACATCTGTCACCGAAACAGGAGAGGGTGGGTGGCCGAGGGCATTGCAAAATGAACGCCGAACGACGTTGAGGTCTTTGCCTCATGCCTTCAGCTGCTGAACTGGAAACTCAGGAAAATACTTGCATGTTAAACAAAATATTCATGAAGGTACACCAAGTAACAGAGAACTGCTTATTCAAACAGGTCGGTTGAAAAAGTAGAAACTGGTAAAAGAGCTGTTTTCACAGGATGGGAAGTTAAGCAGCATACCCCAAGAACTGCGTCAGGTTGACCTTATTTTATAAAATGATATATTCTCAGAGGTGAACAGCGTGGTAACCATCTTGCTGATGGCATCCATTGGTACTGAAAAACCAAGTGGATGGCGAGGGGAGTCTTTCAGGGCAGAGGCGTCCCCTGGGCAGCTCCTCAAACTGAGTCAGTAAACAACAGAACGGCAAATGCAGTTCAAGGTGTACTAGGATGCACACTGACATAAAAGAAATAAATCTTAACTTAAAATATTGGGTGACCTGGCAGGAAAACTGATCAAGATTATAGAGAAATTTGCTTGTTAAAAGGCTACAGAAATGCTAATTAGTTGCACGTGTACATCAAAATGCCCACAAATATATGAATGCTGTTTTAGTACATCTGTATGGATTTATATTGGTAGCAATACTGTTCTGTTAGCATCTGCAGGGTGTTAGCACAGTTCTTCCTGTGCCTCAGGGCCAATGAGACAGTGAACCATGTGGGAGCAGATACAGTACAAGTCTAGAAACTGGCAAGACAGAGAGACGGCCCTTAAATTGGAAGCAGTAATTATGAGTGCACCTAAAATGGACCCAAGAGCACTTTCTAAAGCCTGAACTCCACAGCACTCTCTGCAACTACTTGGATTCTATACATTCATTGAGAACACACATTGTCCAAAAGACTGTCACCACAGCACAGCTTTCTAGAGATGGCATCCACTTTGTCTGGTGCGTGGACATTAAGCTGCCTTTACTTTCAGTCAACTGACTACTTGAAAATATATTTCCATGACCTTTTTGCTGTTTATTTTTAGCAATACTTAATTTTACTAATATGAGCAATTAAATTGAAGATACAAGGCACAATCTCTGCACCCCATTGCATTCATTATATCATTGTGTACTTAAGACTGTACCCTCTTCAGGACTGATTCTGCCTAATCTTGGAAGCAAAGCAGGGTTGGTCCTGCCTAGAATCTGGATGGAAGAGCTGAGGGCTGGACCTGATGGCCTTTGAGGCAACTGTTTGAGTCTGTGTGGGTGTTTATGTGCAGAATGCTTAGGCTGAAGATAGGAACTGAATCAGGTTTATGAAGAGGCTTTCTAACACAGCACTATAGAAGAACAAGAACTAATTGCACAGGAAAGATTGGCACCTTTGCACCTATGTGTTTTAAAGAATCGTATTTTAAAACTGTTGGGAAATTTTATTGTATGTCAATGAGTTAAATACAATGCAACATTAAGTAGACTTTTCTGTTTGTTTTCCTACCTTGTGCAGTCTCCCACCTCCCTGCAGAATTGCTATAGGCATTCTCTCAACCCTCCAGATACAATTTGAAAACAAGGGACTAGAAAATCTGTCTGCCATCAGTTTCCATTCTGCTGGCACTGCATGAAACCTAATACAGGTAATAATGGTTTATTACTTCAAATATTGCAAATGCTAAACAAGTGTTGAGCTTGAATGTAGAAAGAGGTGTTGGGTTGGTATGTGGGAAAGTTACAGAACTATGTATTTGTGTGTTCAGAATTATGTATGAATCTGCAGGATTCACTTCACATGGCTGCTGTGAGGAAGCCAGAATCTGGCTGGACATCAGTACAAGAATGGAACCCATGACCTAGGGAGGTGGTGGGCTCTCCCAGACTGGAGGCATTCAAGAGGCACCTGGACAGCCATCTGAGAGGGATGCTTGAACTGGGAGTCCTGCACTGAGGGGGACTCAGTGGACTTCTTGGCCCTTTCCAACTCTACTATTCTATGGTTCTATGACTGCTTCATTCCGCCCACCCTCCTGCTCTTCTTTTCCATCTGACACTTGCGTTCTTAAATGCTATCGGTATGCAGAATCCTCATTGGAATATTCGGGGGGTGAGGCCTTCTTCTGATTTTTTAATGAAAATGTTTTGTACATCTACATAGCTTAAGGCTCTCCAAGGCAAGGCAGTCCATGTTTTTTCTCAATGGCACCATCTTTGCTCCCATCCTGTCAGCCCTAATCTACCTGAATTTGCTATTCTTTCTAAATATGCCCAGTTGTGTTCTTATAACTTGGGAGACACAAGATAAACAAGTCAAATGTAATGTAGTTGTGATAATGCTTCGTTATCAAAACATTCTGTATGATCTTCCTCACTTAAAAAAATGAAACTTCAATTCATGACTGAAGCCTTTCCTTTGTTTTTATTATTAGCGCCCCAGAATAATAAAGCTTTTTCTTGCACTTAAGTGGTTTATTTGCTGCAGTCGCCTTTTAAATGACCCTACCATGTCCCTCCCAGTGTCCCTCTGCAAAGTTGACACAGACAATTCAGGAATGACCTCCTCTGGTTTTAATTTCAACACTGTTTATTCCCCTCCCCCCACCAAATAAATTGTGGTCCATCATAAATATGAAGCAGCTTTGATAAAGAAAAATCACATCATCTGACGCATGTTCTTTAGGCAGTTTGTACCTGTAGCACAAATCAGTCTCACTGGTATTCTAAAGAGCCGTTAAGACTTCCTGCGATGCAGATACACTCACCACTATTCCATGAATTTATAGTTCTTTTGCAGTGACTAGTCTCATCAAATCCTCAGGATTCATTTTGCAAAGCTGCTGCTGAATAGCTGATGCTCTCAACCTCCAAAGTTGATTAAGATGTGTGCACAAAATCTGGTGACATCATAATGTGGAAGATTTATAAAAACAGAAAATACCCTCCCCACCGATCTTCAATCAGTCTTTATATAGAGAGATTTATATAGATATATATGTATGTATACATATGTGCATGATTCTTTTCCCCAACCCCCCACAAAGATATGAGCAAGAGTTTTGCAGATTAAGGGTCTTCATCCATCAATGGAATTTCTAGAAAATAAAAGAAAGAGTTAATTGGGTTTTAATTATGAACGCTTCTCATGGGAGGACCTGCAATTTGATTGGGCTGTTACATGCCACCCACAGTGCCACTGTTGCTAGGATTGTAAGACAATTATACACAGAATCAGGCAATCCATTTTTAATACTTTACTGCACAATGACCTGTTCAATTCATAGAACTGGTAGCTTCACACAAATCAGCCCAATGGATTCAAAGAGCTTTACACTTGGTCTTGCAATCCTCTGACCACCCTATTTTATGCTAGATCTATTTTCAGCATAAGAATCCAATGAAAATTCACATGTTCTGCAGTCATTCTTCTAAGTTTGGTGCACATTCAGGACTCCTTTGGATTCATTTAAAACAGCAAGTTTTGTGAATAAGTCCACTGTGTGAGAGATTAGGAGGCCAAACCTATAGCGAGCCAAATTTTAATGTTTGCTGAAATCATGTTGATGTGGAGCTTATCAAATGCTGAATTCATAAAATCATTTATTTGCACCTAACCTGAGCTTTCTTAGTGTATAAGATTGTAAAGACCAAAATGAGTGAGGGTCTAATTATCTTTAGAACAAGTGGCCACAGCAGTCTCTTCTCACTCACAATGAATAGCTGATACCAGTTCGCTCCCTTCTCTGACTCAGCACTGGACACTGACTGAGCATAACACAAGCTCCAGACAGCCTTACATGACCCATGGAAATGCACAGGCTAATAACGGGGAAATCAATAATTGCAATAAGGCAATTAAGGCTGCTCAGATTGACTGAGTAACAGAATACCGGGCAGATAATTTGAATTGTATTGTGAGTCGATGCATGTGTTTCTTAGGATTTTTCTTTTAAAAAGAACTTGCAAATGGGCCGATGACACGGGCATTGTGTGGCTGCCCCCACATTCCAGGCTCAGAGTGTAACCCGGATACCCTACATGCTCGCTTGTTGAGAGGTGTGTCAGTCCCTTTATGTATCCAAGAAATTAGGCCAAACAGACCTCCAGCAAATGTTGAGTAGTTTGTAGAGGGGGAAACACTGGATAATTAATTCCGCTGACAGTGCACAGTGTTAGTGCTGAAACTTAAGGGCACATTTTTTTTCCAGAGGAAAAATGCTTGTCTCATCCTTTGTGAGGAGCCACAGTTATACCGTGTGTCACACTGCATCTTGTGCTACAAAGGCAGAAGACAATAGAAGTAAACACTCATGTTAGCGCACAATCAAACCTGGGGGCAGGGAAATCAGCTGGTGGCCTTGTTATTATTGTCCAATTGCTCAGCTAACACTGGGTGGTTTGTAAAGCCAGAATCTATCCTCCTTCCATCATTAAGCAATGTGTAGAGATAAACTCTTGGTTGAATCTGATGGAAGAAAGTGGGTAAACTTGGGGTTGTAAAGAAATTGTTTTTAAATGTCAGGAGTACAGAACAAGAAGCCAAATCTGTGCCTCGATTCCTTTTTCCAAGCACAATCTTCCATTTTCTTCATGTGACAAGAAAAATCAAACATGCCAGAAAACCCTGACACTAAACAATGCCAAGTAATGTTCAAAAATCAAAATTACCATCTGCAATGTCAATGCTTGGGCTGGTGGATGCTACTTCCCCGGTGGTGCTGTTGATAGCATCAGTCCTCTCTGAGACAGGATGTGCTCCTATTTGACACACTGAAGATGTGTACAAACTTTGAAGAAGTTCAGAAGAGCCTGACATGCTGTCACAGGTGTCGAATTCTGCTGGCAATCTGTCCAGATCATCTGGCCCGGGGTAAGCTGGAGGGTTCTGATCATCGCCCTGTAAAATATACCCCTGGCCTGCAGGGGACACACATCCTGGTGCCACGGCATTCAAGCTGCTGCTCACAGCTTCATCATAGGAAGGAAGCATGACAGGAACGCCATCCACCACCACGAAGTCTGGGCCGCTGCTGCAGTTTTCCTGAGCACCTCTGCATAGGGAGGAGGAAGAGAGGGGGTGTGTCTGTGTCCTGGGGAGTGGATAAAAGCAATACCCACCGCCCCCAGAAACAGCCAGGTTTCTCCAGCCACAGAGTTTTCAATTATCTGAAATGGAGCTAGTACATCATTAATATTTATTTCCATAATACGCAAGAGTCTGCCGAGACTGACAGTCGTGTGCAATTTGTCACAATCGGGTAAATAAACAGAGCAGCAGTTCAGAGAAGCAACGCAAGCAGCTGGGAGGCACCGATAAGGGACCCTCTCTGTTCCTTATTCCACACGGAGAACATCACCCTGTATTTAAGGATTGCAGAATCATGGGCACAGGAGTTAGAATGGGAAAATCTGGGGAGAAAAGTGAGGGCATCTCAAAATATTTCAATTATATACTCTATCAGTATTGGTCCTTATTGGCAGTCAATGGAGAATTGAAGCCATAAGCTATAAGGCTTGTAGTTGAGCCAAGCTATAAACGAGAGGAATGGAAATATATGATCAACATGTGCATGTTGCATTTCATAATACATATTTGTTTGTTTGTTTCATTTCTATACCACCTCACAGCTTAAGCTCTTTGGATGGTTTACAAAGTCCATAAAAACAGATGATAAATGTACAATGTTTAAACGTTTTAAAATTAAACGATTTTTAAAAGCTGAAAATAGACAGTAACAAGGGATAACAAAAAGAAAAATAAGAAAGAAAAGAGAGACTCTGCAAAACACCTGGCGATCCTCATCAAGCCCTAAGTGGCCAAGGAAGTCTTTGAAAACCTCAGGAAACAGGACTGTCTTAACCTGGTACCAAAAAGATGATAGGTGGGTTATTCCATAGATGGAGGACCACCACTGATAAAGCCCTCCCTCTTGTTGCCACCCTCTGGACTTCGCTTGGAGTTGGCACTCAGTGGAAGGCCCCAAATGCTGAACGTGGTGTCCAGGCAGAATGAGGTTGGGAGAGGCACTCCAATAGGTATTGTGGTCCTATGCTGTGTATGGCTTTACAGGTTAAAACCAGCACCTTGCATTGGGAGTGGAAGCAAACAGGCTGCCAATGCAAGCAGGTCAGAAAGGGCCTTATGTTCAGACCTGTGGGTCCTGGTTATTAATCTGGCTGTCTCGTTCTGCACCAGCTGCAGCTGAACTGCCTTCGAGGGCAGCCCCACACAGAGTGCATTGTAATAACCCAGTTTAGAGATCACCAGAGCAGAGACTATTGAAGCCAAGTTATCCCTGTCCAGATAGGGGCATAGCTGGGCCACCAGGGAAGGACAGGATGGTTCACAATACAAAACTGAGCAGTATCCAAATGGACTGCTCAGTAAGCAGCGCCTACTGCTGATTCCATTTCACAAGCGCGTGATTCCTTTCTGCAAGCGCGTGGCACCACAATTCTGTCCCGCAAGAGGTGCCCACTGCTTGTGCAAGTTAGTGCTTCCTTTAGGGACTCTCAAAATGAATGGAAACATGCTTTGGCTTTGGGGCAGGTCAACGGGGCTCTCTTACATGAACTCTGCTGGCCTGCCCCTTTCCAGGAATGAACATATCCACTTATTTCAAGTTCCATGCAAGTGCCAAATCACCATTGCACAGGCAGTGGGCACTGCTCCTGAGATGGCCTCCGCTGCAGCCTCTGCTTGCACAAAGGCCTACCTGGATATTACCTATTATAAATAGGGCAAAGCCAATGCAAAATAAAAAAGTGAGTTTATAACATGATTGCTGGTCATTAAAAGAGCTTAAGTCGTAGCTCAAAAGTGCAGGCAGAGCAAAAAGATTTTGCCCGATGCCTACAAGGTAAGAGAACAGGCTGCGGCAGTGAATATTGTGGGGAGAGGTTCAAACCAGGGCCACTGCTGACACCCCTTGCGGTGACCCCGTTTCATTGCTAAGGATGAGGGACCCGGAAAAGGGCCTCATGGAGAGATCCTAATATTCAGGAAGGCTGGCGAGGGAGGCACCCCCCACCCCCTTGTCATCCAGCCACCCGCCTTCAGAAGCCACACAGTTCAAGGTGGGCAGCACACGGCCCGGGGGGCACATGGGGTTGCCAGGCTCCCCAAATTCTATTTTTTCTTCAAACAGTGGTATCTCGAACAGCCATTTCGATCCTGTCTTGCTTTGTTTACTCAATCAAGTTAAACCTGATCCTTCTGTTTTTCTGCAGCTGCTCTAGTCACCTTGTTAATAACACAGACACACACACATTTTTGGTGCAGGTGGGGGCGTGGGGGTGAAAATGGTCCCCCTGCCTTGTGAAGCTGCCCACTCCTTGTGCAGAGGGTTAAAAGACCGAAGCCATCACAGCAAGTTAAGTGCAGCAACGAACTGGAAGCTAGCCAGTGAACCAGAACTCGAAACATGGGATTTGAAAGCCGAGGCAAATATCTGAAGTCCCATGCCATGTCGACAGTAAAGACTCTGCTTGCTCTCACTTGTTAGACGCACTGGCAAAGCAGGTTCCAGGTTCCTACATCTTGCCTAAATCTGGCACTGGACCGGGGGAGGAGACGGCAAAGAGGGCATCCAGGTGGAAGCACTTGTTTCGAGCTCGTCACGGCATCTGCCAGATGCTGCCTTGCTTAGAGATGAGGCAGGACAAACTGCACAGCACAAAGAAGACTGCACTGCTGAACTAGTTGTGAGTGGAGAGGGGAGAACGACATCCAGACAAATCCGTCTGCACTAACCTCGGAAGGAAGCGTGCCTTAAATTTGGTCTGGAACATTCTGGCAAGAATAACTAGTAGAAGTACCAGAAGAACACTGGTAGCAGTAAATGCCACAATCTTCCAAGTTGTCAGGAGAGTTTCTTGTGTATTTGGCCAGGTTTGTTCTGTAACACAAAGGACAATGTAAATCAGTCACATTAGTAGCTACTTTTAGGAGAGCCAGAAAAGATCAGGTCTTGACAGCGCTAAATCATGCACAAATATGACGCGAATGTATGAGACCCCCGTTCAATTTTATATTTATTATGCTTTCAACATCATTTGCAAACTAAAGATATAAATCAAATTAACCACAACTGAAGGCAAAATGAATGTTACATCTGAGAATGTATCACACAGGCAATTTCAATCCAAAGCTGTCACCCTTTATTCCCTATGTGCCTGATCTTTTAAAGCAGGAGTTTTCCAGCCCAGGGGCTGAATTCCATTTGGAGAAGCTCTTGGGGACCACATTCCAGAAGTGGACTGTGCCAAAGACAAAAGGGAGATGGGGCAAAATTACCAGCATATTTTAACTTAAAAGATCTTACTGCCAGTAACTAAGCCTTAGGAGAGGAAATGAGCCTTTCACTTTTAGAATGGAAAACCCGTCAGGTTGGTGGTCAGGCAGGGGCGTAGGGTTGCCTGGGACACCCCAGATGGTCAGACTTGGAGCCCTGGTAGGCCACATCTGGGGTTCTGCACCCTTTGTTTCTTTCTTATATTTATACCCTGCCTTTTTTCCTGCAAGAAACCCAAAGTGACTTGCAGAACCCTCCTCTTCATTTTATCCTTACAACAACCCTGCAAGGTAGGTTAGCCTGAGAGTCAGTGACTAGCCCAAAATTATAGAAACATAGAAAACAGAGAGAGTCAGAAGGGGCCTCCCAGGCCATCTAGTCTGACCCCTGGCTCCAGCCAGCTCCTCTCATGACATGCCTACCATGTGCACGTCCAGCCTATCCTTGAACACTCTCACTGATGGGGCTTCAACCACCTCCCATGGAAGCCCATTCCACACCCTCGGGGTCCTACCATACCCAGCAAGCTTCGTGGCTGAGTGGGGTCTAGAACCTGGATCTCCTGAGTCCCATTCTCATGCTGTCAACCACTATGCTTTGATGGGCCCCGGCATGGTTTGTCTACCTTGCATGGCTGGCTTGTCTTCTCTTTTTACCTGTTTTGACACAGTATACTTGATAGGAAGGAAACCATTCTCCGTACTGACAGGTAATATACTTGTAGTCATTGGTGAGAGTGTAGCCAGGATCGCAATAGAACTCCACCACAGTTCCATGGTTGTAATGCTCGCAAGGCCGCGGGTGGCAAATGTAATCTCCATGAGTCACCATAGGAGGTAGTGGGCACACTTGGAAACACACAAAACATGAGGACGAGTTAGCTGCGATTACTCTGGACATCACTAGATGCAGACCAAATGTAACCTTGTACGCAATTCCGTATCATGCCGACTCAAGCGCAAACATATACTCTACATCATTAGATTTATGCCATTAAGAAACAATATATTAATCGTCAGCAGAGGGAGGGGGAGATCTAAATGAGGGCCCCATCCACCATGAGGAGGCATAGTCACAGTATTTATGCAAAGCAAATTTATCACAGTTGGGGGATATGCTAATGAATACAGCATAGCCGAAAACATGACCTTGATGTGATACACAAATGCACTTGCAGAAGCTGGAGGAGGCGGAAAGAGGATGTGTGCTTTTTAAGTTCCATTTTTGTGTGGAGTTTTTTTTAGCTTGATTAGCTATGTGCAGGTACAAGCAAACAAGTGGAGATGTTTAAATAAAGCAAAACAATTGAAGACCCTGCCTGCCTGCTCACACACAATCACCCAGGAGCAGAAGGGATGTGGCTGCTTGCTCCTACCCTCCCACCTCCCACAGGACCAGTGCCTCCGTTCCCCTCGGCCCAAGAGCAAGCAAACGAGTGTAGCCCCTCTCCTCTGCACACCTTCCTGGGAATTCGCTCCCTTAAAGCCAAAGCGATGCACTTCCCAGTAAGGCCACTGAGGCTAATCTGCGTAGACATGCATTTCAGCCAGTTGCTTTCCTGAGCAAAGGAAACAACGCTGAAGGCTGCAGAAGACACTGCAGAGTCCTTTTCAAAGGAGAAGGAAAGGGGCTGCAGCACTGCATTTGCAAATGAGAGACGCGCAGAGAAAGAGGCCCAGGGTGGTAACGAGGTAATGTGGAAATATTCTGTAAGCCGTCCAGAGATGACAGTGATGGACGGTCTATACATTCCCTAAATAAATAAATAATAAATAAATAACAAGGGAGGTGGGAAAGCAAAAGGAGGATCTCTGAGTTGCTGCTGTTACGCTTAAGCTCTGATGGGGCCCTTCTTCTTCCCATCAGCCCACTGAAGCCACCAGAACAGTACCAAAAGTTTAGCATACACTTATTTATTTATACATACATACATACGTGTATTTATAGGCCGTCTATAACAGCCAAGGCCTTCCTAGGCGGCTTACAATACAGAAAACATATTAACAAAGTAAAATACATTAAAACACCTATAAAAAGGGCCACAGCATTCAGGCGAAGTGCTAAAAAAATTCTAAAAGCTATGTATGTACATATGTATATGTAGTATATATGAATGTATACTGGGCAAAACTCACCCTTTTATCAAAAAGCTGTGATATGGCTAGTCGGAAGAAATCCAAGACATAACAGCAGAAATAGCACGAGGAGGGCGGCTTTGGGATGAGTATCACGTGATATGCCAGTGAGTCAGGTGTAACAATGCTGGTAAAAATGCTTAGATTGCCCTGGCTCCTATTCTGTAGCAGTGTTATCATTTTTTATATCAAGGCAATGTAAATAATATGACACAACCATTAAGATTAAAGCAACCACCAAGCCTTGCAGTGCTGCTGTACCAAGCTGGCTTTCTCTTAAACCAGGATGAGCAGTTGCAGCAATCTTAGGTTTAATCATCTCTCAGTTATATTGCTGCAACGTGCTCCACATGGGACCACCTATGAAGAGCTTTTTTGCAGCACATAGCAGCCAGTTTATGGCATCCTGACCATATTGGTCAGGTCTTACATTAACTGAAAATGTCACCTTCTCCATTATCATCATCAACTTTTGTGTTGTTGTTGTTACTGAATTGCATTTCTATTATGCCTTTTTCCTCCTTTGAGGAATCCAAGGTAGTTCACATTGCTCCACTGTACAAATTAACAACAAGCCTGCGAAGCAGGTTAAGCTGAGAGTGAGCGACTGGTCCCAAACCACCCAGTAATCTTTATGGCTGAATGAGGACTCGAACCCAGATCTCCTAGCTCCCCAGTCCAACACTCTCACCCCCACACCACACTGGTTCTTAGTCTGCCCATTTCTGCAGTTCTTGAAGAGACCTGCCTTTTGAAACAAATTCCTAATTTTTGAACTTTCTTCCTGTAACTACGGTATAATTTTTGTGCTTTATCCATTTTTAGTTGCATACATCACCTTGTGTGCCAGTTTTGGTAGAAAGTCAAGTTACAAATCAAATAAATAACAGTAAAATAGTAAGTGTGCTGGTTGCCAATTTGTTTTCAGGCACAATTCAACAAGCTAGTGCTTGCTGTAAAACCCTAAGCCTTGGGGCTGGGTTATTTGAAAGGAACCTCATTCATGCCACCTTGCCTGTAATCTAAAATATTTGTTGCCCCTTCTGTATGTCTCACCACCAACACAATCTAGTGTAGTGCAACTTTAAGGCATGAGCCTATGCATGTTTAGAAAGTAAAAAGTGGTATAACATTCAGACTGGTTGGCATGGGGACATGTTGGCAATGCATTTATTTGATTTATAGCCTCCTCCTCCTTTTTAAAGAACTCAGAGTGGCTTACATCATGCTGCTCCTCCTGCTCACAAGCTTATCCCCACAACAACAACCCTGCAAGGTAGGCTAGGCTGAGAAGATGTCACTGGCCCAAAGCCACCCAGTTAGCTCCATGGCTGAGTGGAGACTAGAAGTCAGACTGCCTGAGTCCCTGTCCCGTGCTCTTAAGCGCTATACCACACTCACTCTCTGTCTAAATTTATAGCACTTTCTGGTTAAATGTGCATAGGATTGTGCTCTATCTGAATCCCGCACTCTGTTTTTAAGTGTTGCTTCTGTTCTTATTTCTAAGTGTTGATCATTGCATTACACTTTTCTTGTAAGCAAAACTTCAGCCAATTTGGGCTAAAAGAAGGCTCACATGGCCAGACAACATTCCCAGCTCTGCCCAGAGGGCTTTGTAATAGAGGGTACTTTAGGCATTCAAAATTCAGTCTTGATATTTTATGAAATGCTGTGATAAATATTTATGTGTTTGGTTATATTCCATTATTTTAAGAGAGTTCAAAAGACTCCACAACACCAGCACCCCTCTTAGCTAGCTCTGTACCGGAGAGGAGGGAATGAATTATGAGCGCAACCTAGCACATGTAAAACCCATTGAGATTAATGTTGTTTAAATGTAGCTGATACTCCTCCCATTGATTTCAACTGAACGGTAGTCTCTTATCTTCCCACTGGAACCCAGCCATGGATCTATTTCCAAGTGTCCCTCGAGGCCAACACAGTTTTTCCCTGTCGCCTGCCATGCAGCCAGGCACCAGCTCTGCATGAGGTTTTCTTCCCGTTGAAAGCGGTGTGTACCCTGCAGGTGCCTGTCAAGACTGGAAACCTGGACGTAATGCTTCCGGAGAGCTTTGTCTCCTGACAGCTCCAGTTTCTGTCCCTGCCTTCAGCCTAAGCTTGGCTGCCCAGCTGCCCGCTCCTTAGTCCCCCACCCCCAACCTTGCCCTGCCCCTGCTTTGCCTTTGCTTCTTCTCAGCATTTGCCTTCACCTCTGGATCTGCCCTGCCTTGTTGGAATCTGAGCTTTGCTGTTCCTGGTTCTGCCTTTGCCTTTGGAAGTGCCATGCCTTGCTGGATATTTGACCCTTGCTTATTCCTGGCTTTATCTTTGCCTCTGGCCCTCCTGCATTCTGCTAAGATCTTTATCTGCCTCTGTCATCCCAGCCCTAGCGCTCCAGCTGAAGACACCTGCTGCCTGTGCTCCAGAGGTGACCATGTTCATTGATCCAGCACTGTCCCTGGATGCACAAATTTCTCCAATGGCTAGAAGTACCTTATAGCTGTTCCTGGCCAGATACAACTTGATCCCAGTGGCTCACTCACTGGTAACTCAAAACCTCAGCACCTATGCTAGGGAAGCTTCACTGGCTTCCCATATGTGGCTGGGCCAGGTTTAAATTGTTCACTAAGCTCTAACCTACTTAGTACAAAGTTATTTAAGAAAACTTATAATCCCCTAATGGCCTGCTTGGCTGCTGCACTCCTCAAGATATACCGTACTAGTGGTACCCAAAATTTCAGAGGTCCCTCAGGGAGCAGAAGAGGGTCTTCAGGATTGCAATGCCAGTTCTCAGAAACCCCCTACCACTCCAAACTAGGTGCGTGTGAGTCCTCTGGTTTTCTATCTCCTGTAAAGATACCTTTTCCAACCAACATTCCCAGGGAGGTCAACTTGCCTTCTGTACAAAGACTGGTTTCTTTAGAAGTTGCTTACACATAAGTGATTTCAATATAAATTGTATCTAATGATTCACCAACAGCAATTCAGTGCACCTGGTAACCAGCATAGGTAGTTTACAGATTCAACATTATGTGAATTGATGACATATTTATTAAATAGGCACATTATTCAGCACCAGCTGAAGTTCTGCAGCTGTTTACAAAGCTGAAATTGTCCAATACTGGGTCAGGACATCAGCTCATTTGGCTCTGTAAGACTCTGCCATCAACCTTCAAGCACTTATTCCCAGGACTACCTGGATGGGCCAGAAATTAAACCTGGGACATTCTGCATGTAAAACCTGTGCTTTATTACTTAGCTACAGTCCTTTGTCTCTTCCCACAGATTTTCAGCCTGAACATTCCAAGCAACTTGCAAGAGGATTCATAAGCTGAACCTGAGTCAACAATGTGATGTGGCCGCGAAAAGGAGAAATGCTGCTTTGGGCTGCACTGATAGAAGGACAGCTTCCAAATCGTATGAGAAACTTTTTCCCCTTTCTTGGGCACTAGTTAGGCCCCAACTCTAGCAGTGTGTCCAGTTCTGGGCACATTTTACAAAATCTGCAGACAAGCTGGAAAGGATTCAGAGGAGGGCAACAGGGATGATCTGGGGGCCGGAAGAAAGCTCCATGAGGAGAGGTTGAAAGAAGTGGGCATGTTTAGCCTTGAGAAGAGAAGAGAAGACTGAGGGGAGACATGATAGCATTCTACAAGCACGTGAAAGGTTGTCACAAAGAGGAAGGCCAGGATCTCTTCCTCTTCGAGTGCAGGACACAGGGCTCAAGTTACAGGAATCCAGATTCT